TGGACTGTACAAACGAAGAAGAGGAAGAGGAGGAGGAGGAGGAGGAGGACGAGAGCTAGGAGGAGTAGGGGAGGAGGAGGACCAGTGTAGCCCCAAGACCCATCAACGATTTTGCAACAGACCCTCCCTGCTTGGCTGCCAGCTTTGCTTCTGGAGCGGAAAGGAGGAAGAGGCAAACGAGGAGGAGGAAGAGGCACACATGCGGAATAGGAGGAGGAAAGGGGAGGAGGAGGAGCTTGTTGTTTGTAAGGTCTAGGCGATGACGGCCGTGATCGGCCCTCTCCCTCCCCCCCCCCCCCCCATGGATCGCGTAACGCCATTTTGCCCACATGCGCAACGATTTCCGACGGATTATTCGAGGATGTCGTGGGATTTGTGGCGCCCCCCGCCGCCGTGACGTGACCGTGGGGGACCACCGTGGGGGACCCCCCCCCTCCCCCGATCATTCCCGCCCTCGCGAAGATTAAGAAGATGGCTCCAGTGTAGATCGGGGGCGGCAAAGAGGGGGGTGATGACTAGGGGGGGGATCTCATGGCGGGCGACATGATATTTCCCCAGATTTCATGGCGCATCTTCTGAGGGGATTAATATGAAGGGATCACGGCGAAAAAAATGGCAAAACACAATCAACAAAACAGAGCGAGTGACTCGATAAAAATCATATGAAAACGACGAGGGGCTCCACAATCCCCCTCCCCAGATTTCATGGCGCGTCTTCTTGTTCCAACACGTCCACAGGCCCCCTCTGGCAAGGCTCAAGGTTCACGACCGTACGTGGTGCGGAAATCTCATGCCATCTGCCCGACCCGCCCTACCGACGCGTCTCGGGGTGCGACATGGAGAAGTGAATTAATCGCTTCGCTCATCTTTTGGGGGCCTCTTGGGGCGGGATGGGGGGTAGTCGATTGCGGCTCCCCCCTCGGAGGCCACGATCCTCGTGAGGGGTGTCGAAAAATGGCCCTCCCCTGGAGTGCTCTGTCTGGTGGCTTCTCCCGGGACCTTGCCGGGGTACTTTTCGTCCGGGGGCCCCCAGGGGCTGCTCCGCGCGCACGAACTAGAAATACGCAGCACCCCGCAATTGCGGATAAGAGTGAGGGGGCGGGCGCGGGCGACGCGGGCGTCGTCGAGCCGGCGGACCTCGTGGCTCCCACCTTCCTTGTCGATGGCGCTCTCCTCCACCTCCTCCTCCTCCTCCTTCTCCCCCTCTTCCTCCTCCTTCTCCTCCTCCTCTTCCTCGTCCTCATCGTCATCGTCATCCTCCTCCTCCACCTCGTCCTCCTCCTCCTCCTCCTCTTCTTCCTCGTCCTCCCTCTCCCCCCCTCGTCTTTTCATCATGGTCCTCCCATTGCCGTCCTCCCCCCATCGGCCTCCATCATCGTCCTCCCATTGTCGTCCATCATCATCATCCTCCCCATCCTCCCCCTCCTCGTCCTCCTCCTCCCCCTCCTCCCCCTCGTCCTCCTGCTCCTCCTCCTTTTCTTTCTCCACGTTCTCCTTACATCCTCTCTTCTTCCACGTTCTCCTCGTCCCCTGTTTACTCATCCTGCCTCCCCCTCCTTTCCCAAGATAACTGCAACGCAATCCTTTTTTCCACTTTATGCTCCCCGCCTTCTCTGATCAAGGCAACTCGCCAGGGCAAAGTTGCTGGACGGGCTGGCGTGGATGTGCGGGGCGTGAAGAGGTCCTTGCGGGCTCAGACGGCATGCAAGAATCCGCCGCCGCGCTTGTGCGGCATTGGTTTGTTCAGTGAACGTGGTTTAGGTCGCGGGTGGGTCGCGGGCTCTCCACCTCCACCTGGAAGGAATGCAAAAGCAGCCCGCCGCAAGCGCCAAAAAAATTGGTTCGTACACGGAACGAGGTTTGGGTCGCGGGTGGGCCGCGGGTTCTCCACAGGGAACGAATGCAAAGGATGCCCGCCGCAGGCGCCGAAAATGTGGTTTGTACCCTGAACGTGGTCGCGGGTGGGCCGCGGGCTCTCCACCTGAAACGAATGCAAAATATGCCCGCCGCAGGCGCCGAAACATGTGGTTTGTACCCTGAACGCGGTTTGGGTCGCGGGTTGGTCGCGAGTTGGTCACGGGATGTGTCGCGGGCTCTCCACTTGGAAGGAATGCAAAAAAGCCCGCCGCAGGCGCCGAACATTGTGGTTTGTACCTTGAACGTGGTTTGGGTCGAAGGTGGGTCGCGGGTGGGTCGCGGGGTAGGTCGCGGGTGGGTCGCGGGTGGGTCGCGGGTAGGTCGCGGGTGGGTCGCGGGTGGGTCGCGGGGTGGGCCGCGGGGGAGGTCGCGGGGGGGGTCGCGGGGTGGGTCGCGGGGTCGCGGGGGGTCGCGGGGTGGGTCCGCGGGTGGGTCGCGGGTGGGTCGCGGGTGGGTCGCGGGGTGGGTCGCGGGTGGGTCGCGGTGGGTCGCGGGGCGGGTTGCGGTGGGACGACGACAACAAACAACAACAACAACAACAACAACAACAAATCATTTTACCCGAACGCTCAGTGTTCTCACCAGTGCCAGGGTTTTCATGCGACGCGAGACAATACCCCCACTTCGTGGGGGGGCAGTTCAAGCTCTACCAAATATCCAAACGACTCTTCGCGACCACCCAAACCCAGCTTCCCGCCCTATGACGTTGGGACACTTCACTTCGTGGCGTGCGGACGACCGTGGCTACTACACTGGCGTGGGGTACACACCCACAGAACTTGGTCACTTATTCGGGGCGCGCGTGTGCCCAGCATCCTGCAATTGTGACATACAATACATGACACAGACAGACAGACAGAGAGAGACAGAGAGCAGACAGAGAGAGAGACAGAGAGAGCGGAGTTGGCCACATTTTTGGGGCAAGTTCCTGAGATCGTCGTGTTTTTTGTTGGTCTTGCGCGCGCGAATGTCCACTTTACTTTTTTTTTGCAAGGGATGTTGAAATTTGATTATGTAAGAACAAGAAAAAGTAGCTCGCGCGAGCTTATGTAACATAAATGTTGAAAAACCATTGGTTTTGTGGGAGTCGGACAGCGCGCGCGGGATGAAATTTGGACATTTTTTTTTGAAAAACCATTGGCTTTTTGATGTTTTTATGTTGAAATCGTTACGAAACCTAAGGTTCTGGAAGGATTTCGTCTTGCGCGCGCGAATGTCCACTTTACCTTATTTTTTGCAAGGGATTATTGAAATTTGATTATGTTAGAACAAGAAAAAGTAGCTCGCGCGAGCTCATGTAACATAAATGTTGAAAAACCATTGGTTTTGTAGGATTCGGACAGCGCGCGCGGAAGGACATTTTGACAATTTTTTCTTAAAAAACCATTGGGTTTTTGATGTTTTTATGTTAAAATCGTTACGAAACCTAAGGTTTTGGAAGGATTTCGTCTTGCGCGCACGAATGTCCACTTTACCTTATTTTTTGCAAGGGATTCTTGCAATTTGATCAACTAAGAACAAGAATTTTCATTTTCTATTGTTTTTTGCAAGGGAAAACGAGCGTCAACAAAAAACCGGATCCGGTACCAATCGTTTTGCCTGAGACTTCCTCACGAAAATGATGAAAATGTGGCTGCGGCCTAGGCGCGGCGGGGGGGTCGCGCACCAGGGGTCCCAACAATAATTATTCTTAAGAAGAAATAATGTTCAACAACAACACCAACACCAACAACAACAACAACAAACAACAAACAACTCAACAAACAATAAACAACAAACAACAAACAACAAACAACAAAAACAACAACAACAACAACAATAATCCGTACCGCGGAATTCCACATCAGCCACGCACCCAGGGACAGTGAATGACCGTTCGGCCCCCTCACTCTGATTATTAACCAGTTACCGGAGATCTTAGCACGCCTCTGGCCCGTTGGGCCGGCGAATTTGTAAGGAAGAGATGGAAACGCAGGATCAATCGAGGAGGAGCAGGAGGGCTTGTGCGTGTGAGGAGCATGAGGGCAAGGGCGTTTTGGGGCTGGCGCCAGCACGCCGCTGGCTTACCGCGCTTCCTATGCCGTGAGATTAGTTGCCAGGTTCGGTCTGATAGTTCAGTGTGCGCTCGACGGCGTCGATCTGATCGACTCGATCGACGGCTCTGCCGTGGGTTCGGCCCGTGTCCGTGCGAGCGTGCATTGTTTTGTTGGTTTCTGAGTTGCGAGTTTCTTTTTAGTTTGAGGCCTACCGCAGGGTGCTCCAGACCGCAGCGTCGGAGCGCAGCTAAGCAGCGGCAGCCGCCCCAGACACAGGCAGCCTGCACGAGCCTGGCGAGCGGCGGGATGGCAGGTTGGGACCGCAACGCTGGAACCTTCGCGTATGGGCGGTGCGCGGAGAGGCGATGGGCAGGCTGCTGGGGGACTTGTCATTTCCGCGTGCGACTGTGCTGCCCGCAGGCACGTGTCGTTTGTTTCTTACGGGGCGATGTATTGGATTCTGTGTGATCCGGTTGCCGAAGATGTAGCTCTGGAGTGGTCTCTCGGTGTGCTGTTCACGACAGTCTTGGAGGACGAAGCACAGAGCGGGTAGTGTGCAGGCACATTGTCCGTAGCCGAAAAGAAAGAAGGAAGCGAAGAGAGCTCCTCCTCCCCAGGCCATCTCGCGTCCTTAGCTACATCGCGACGGCAGTTCCGTATACGCTTTCGACCTTGGGGGGCCTTTGCCAGGCCGCGGGGCCGTCAGAAAATGACTCGGGATGAGGAGCCGTTCCCCGGGAAGGGGTCCGGACCTCTTTGGGGGATCCCGCCATAAAATAAATCGCGAAGTATGGGGTATGGGTCCAGCGCGGACTCTTGGAATACGCCGAGTCGTCGCGCAGACCATTTCGGTGCACACTTTCGAGTGGTCTTCCCTCCGATCCTCCCTCCTCTCGGCTTCCTCTTGCTGGACTACGAGGAGGGGGCAGAAGAGGAGGTAAGACGACGAGAAGGGGCAGCAAGAGGGACGCCACCAGGATGGCCTCGTTCCTCTTCGGCTCCAACTCCGAGCCTCCTCCCTCCACCGCTACCGCCCCTACGTGGAAGGACCCTTACCCCTCGAGGAAGGGGCCCAGCACGGCGCTCACGGCGGCCGCACTAGGCGGGCTACCAGGCCAGCAGCCGCAGGGGCAGGGAGAAGGACGGCGACAACGACGACAACGAGTCGTCAGGTCGTCGTCAGGTCGTCGTCGAACCAAGATTGGCGGCCATGCGCCCCCTCTGGGAGTCCGTTCGTGGCTTCATTGCTGGGAGAGTGCCTTGGCATCGTTTGGACGTGTGCATTTTCTCTGGGCGAGGGCCATCGGGGGAATGGTGATCGGTTTCTTATTCATTGTTATCCCGACCGTCGCGGGCCCTCGCCCCCCCCTCCCCCCCCTCCTGCAGTGGATCTTGGCTGTTTTTGGCGGAGGTTTCGAGCAGGCGGAGCCCCCCCCCATGGGACGCAATGTTGCAAACAGTAGCACTAACCAGAGGTCAGGAGCCAGACCCCCACCCCCCATCCCCCTCCTTTTCGCTCAATGTCGAAACGCCGAATCAGAAAACGACCGAGCGATGGCAAGGTGCCACCAGCCTGCACCACAGTCGGAGCACACGGCGCGGGCAAGCGAAGTGCGGCTGCGGCGACCCGCCAGCTCTCACAAAGCCACTGGTGCTTTGAAAACCTCCCTCCTCCTCCTCCTCCTCCTCCTCCTCCTCCCTCCTCCTCCTCCCTCCTCCCCTCCTCTCTCCTCCTCCTCCTCCTCCTCCTCCTCCTCCTCCTCCTCCCTCCTCCTCCTCCCTCCTCCTCCACCGCCCTCCTTGGAGCTACCTGTTTCTCCCCGTGGGGAGGCCTGTCTGGAGCAACGTTTGGAACTGGAATTTCAGCTGGCACGCGCCACTTTTCGGATTCGTCGCCTCTCGAAGCTGATCAATAAAGAACGAGAGGCATCTCTGACCCTGGAGCTGAACAACGCATGGAAGTCGCACGACCACTACAACGTCCGGAGGCTTATTAGACGACTATCTAGGCGTGGTGCAGGTCCTCGGCACACGAAGTATTTTGTATTGAAGTCGGAAAATAGTGAAGCTCATGAGATCTCCGCTTTTCTGTGCCGACCTGCGGTCGAGGGTGGTCTCGGTGCTGCGACATGCGACTTGCAAAAGGAACTGTTGGATCGTTTTGAAAGACCACACTCCGACGGTTGGGATGTCTCTGAGGAGGTTCGCTACAACGCCATGCAGATTGAGAACATAGCGGACGCTCGTACCGACTTGATGGGTATCGTGAGGCAGTTGAGGCGTGCTCCAAAAAGACGGGCCACTCCGTCTTGGTCTTTACCTTCGGAGCTCTGGCTGTTGCTCCTGGACCCTGATTGCTGGGAGCAATTTCGTGGTGGTGGAGTGGGGGCGGATCTTCTTCCTGCGACTTCGACGGCTTTCACGGAGCGTTTCTTAGATGTCTTAGCTTGCTTTCGGCGGACAGCGTCCACTCCTTTGTTATTTGATGTATCTTCCTGCTGCGGTCTTGACAAGCATAACGGAAAGTTGGGAGCTGAGAGTCAACGTTGGATTCACTTATTCTGCCCTCTGGGCAAGGCGTGGAACTCGCACTTATGGGTCAGAGCACGTCGGCATCGTGATGCTCGACCATATGTATGTCATGGATTTGCGAAAAAGCGCAGACGGGAAAATGCGATTTTAACACAGTGCTGTACGTCCTGGCGTTTGCAGAGGCAGGGCTACTCTCACGTGATCGTCAACGAGGATGCCACTAACGCGTTCTCCAGTGTATCGCGAGACATCATGCTGGACACATTGCCCCTGCTGTATCTTGAAGAGGACGTCAGGTTTCAACATCAGCGTATTATTCAGAGCGCGTGCCAGATTATCACATCGGGCGAAACTATCAGCTTGCGCCCCAGTACGGGCGACTTCATGGGCCATCCAAATGCTGCACGGGGCTTTCCATACTACTACCAGAAGGGGTTGGAGCCGTTCTTTGAAATTCGACAGCGGACTACCTCCTGTTCGATGGCGTTGGTCACCGAGCCGAACGGGGTCACCACGGACGTGGGCTTGTCACTGTTCGCGGATGATATCACAAAGCATGTTATCCCTGGGCCAGGTCCACCTCCGCAGCGCATGGGAGGCGAAGCTCAGCATCTGCTGGCGCTCGCGCGTGTCAGCAGCGATCATTTACAGCGGGCCTTGGCCCAGATCGGAGTCGCCCTCAACCCTGACAAAAGAGTCTCCCTCGTAAAGATCGTCGGTCCTGGATCTCTCGGGCAACGTCGTCTGATCTTCAGCGGGGCCGTGAAAACCAAAGGCAAGGTGGGGAGGTTCATGAGAGTCTTGGGCGGGTGGCTGACCACGAGTGGATCCCTTCAGGTTGAAAAAGTGAAACGCATTCAAGCGGGACGGGCGGGGCTCGGTAAGATCACCATGTTTTTGAGGCACCCTGCAGTCTCGAGCGTGAAGCGCATGGCGGTGATCGCGTTCGTTCAGTCGGCCCTGCTCTCGGGGATGGAGGCACGTATTCCAGATAAGAGTTTTTGTGCTGCAGTTGATCAGGTTTTACAGCAGGCTATGAGGAGGGGAATGGGCATATTGGGCCTCGAGGAACATGGCGAGCAGGAGCTTCGTCGCTGGTCGGCGGAGCGCGTGTGTGCACATTGGCGAATCCTACCGTGCGAGCAGGAACTTCGTGTTCGTCGGTTGCGTTGGTACCAGAGTTGGAGTAGGTACCCTGAGGCACACCGACAAGCGAGGGCAAGTGTTTTTGGGCGTTTGGGCGACGAGGAGGTGATCACGTCTTCCTGGACTCTGACGGAAAATGCGAATCCCTGGGCCCTTCAGGTTCTGGGCGATCTGCGTATCGGTTTCGACGGCTCCGAGGAGCTCCAGGATTTGCTGCCGTTTGGGCACCCTCTCTTGAAGCTCCTGTTCGGTCAAGACTTTGACAAGTGGGTCGACATCGGTTTCTCGATCCTGAGGGCGAAAGCTTTCTCGAGGTCGGTTCCTCCTCCTGGATTTGGCACGCCGTCTCCCCTGGAGTTCGAGGGCGCGGAGGTGGAGTGGTCTGGGCCCTTTCAGTGCAATCTGTCGTCGGCGGTGGGCGGGGTCTGCGGGGGGCGCTTCGAGTCTTTGAAGAAACTGCTGCTTCATGCGGGACGGGTGCACGCTGTGAGGAACGAGGCTAGCTTGCTTACTGTCACCAACCAATGCTTTCGTTGTCTGCAAGCGCTAGCCTCTCGGGAGAACGCGGCACGCCACGTGATGCGGTCTTATCAACGCAACAGGTGTGCTCTGGGTCGAAGCTCGTGCACGCAGTGCGAAGTCATCCAGCCCCCGTTGCTCACCTGCCCCGTATGCAGTTACTTGGCTCGAGATCTTCACTCGCTTCAACTTCACATACGATCCCACTGCTCGCTGCCTGCCCCGACGTTGTCTCGCCGTCGGCTACAGCATGTCCGCCGCCATGAACTTGGACGAGCTTCTGCGGGGGCACAAGGAAAAGGCGCTGTCACCTCCCGACGGCGAGGGTCAGGCAAAAAAAGGGCGAGTTGGAACGATGGCCGACGACGCCGACGACGAGCTGGCAAAAGTGGAGGGGGCCTTGAAGGCCAAGGACCTGCAGCAAGCTGTCAACATCCTCTTGAAGATGGCGTGCATGCACGCTCAGATGTTGCGGGACTTGGCGGCGTCGGAGTGGATCTCAGTCGTGGCCCCAGTCGAGTGCCCGCCCATCGTTGCGTCCAGGGCTGCAGGCAAAAAGCACGCCGAAGTGACCGCCATCCAGGAGCTGAAAACGAAAGTGGGCCCTCCACATTTGTACATCGCACAAGCCGCGTTCAAATCATTGAGCGAGGACGAGAAGGTTCGCACGCTGCTGGAGCCGCATCGAGTTTTGAAAGCTTTCTACGAGCAGTTCATCTCGAAAGCATCGACGGACGAGTTGGGATTGGTCATTCGCCACTTCCGAGTGCGGAAGTGCTACAACGAGAAGTTCGTGCGCCTACAGTTCAGCATCGCAGAGGGTTTCCAGATCGGGATGGGCGAGAATCAGCCTGCCGTTACGAAGCTGTCCCTGGAGCAGGCCATGATCAAGGCGCTGGTGCACCTCGACGGTCGTCTCAAGCTCGGCACGGCACCGGTGGGCCACCTGGAGCTGTTGGCCCAGAAGTTGCTGGATCGCTCGAAGCCCAGAGATCAGCGCGGGAAAGCTCGTGGGAGTCTCGCTTGACGGCACTACGGGAACGGATTCGTATCAGAGAGTTGGCGGCGTGCTCATCGGAGGCACCTTCATAAACTTGGGCTGGGCTTGTCAGAACGCGCCACCCTCGGGGTGTGCTAAGAGTCGCCACTGGCCCTTCGTCCTGTCCAGGGGGCTTGGGCTGGAGTGCGCTCGCTCTTGCTCACCTTATGTGGCAGGGCGGGGGTCGGGTTTTGCTGCCTCGAAGGCCTGCGTCGCTCGTCGCCTTTTCCATATTTCTGAGTTCACTGTGAGACTTGGTCTGACGGGTGTACTACTCTATGGGCGTATACATACCTGATCAATTTCGATTTCGTGAACTCGTTCAATGTGAACACGTTCATAGTCCATATCTTCTGCGTCGACGGGGTCGTCACCACCCCCTGAGCCCGATGAGCCTCGCCTCGCCGTACATCGAGGCACCGTCCTGCCACCGTCCTCCTTTCTTGTCTTCTCTCCTTGTAGTTTCCTTTTTCGGAGGCTCGGTGGTTTTTTTTTTGATTTTGTGGGCCCACTCCCCCCTCCGTTGCGGCGCCGCCTGCCTGCTCTCCTTCTGCTTTGTCCTCGCCCCCTCCTTCGTTATTGCTCGTCCTCTCTGTCGCCTCTCTCGCCCCGTCGTTCCTCTCGCGTCCGTCGTTTGCCTGCTGGGGAGTGGGCCCGAATTCGGGAGGGCTCGGGCGCTCCAGGGGCCATCCTGGGGCCCGCCGTCCTGGAGGTACGGCTCCTGCGGAGCCCGTGAGGTCGCTCGCCTCCCGCTCGCATGGTTTTCACTGTTTGCGATCGGTCTCGCACTCGTTCGAATGCTGGGCTGCGCGGTGCACTTTACCCTGACCTCGAGTGTTATCTCGTTCGTTCGACTGTCAGAGGTACTTTGTTGTAGA